GGGATGACCACATCCAGCTTTCTGATCCGATCCCGGCCTATCAGAGCATGTGTTAAAGTTTAAAGTTATATATCTACTTACTTAGCTGTCAGACTCATGTTGAACAGGGATTTACTCTGATAACAACTTAATGGTTAGGACACAGACCTCTGGGTTACAGATGCTAATGCTAATGCTCGTGTGGAATCGGACTTTAAAAAAACTGGATCTGCAGTTTCTCAAATATCTTTTTGCAAATATCGGCGGCCGATCGGATCCAGATATTGGATCAGGACCAGCCTGGAACAAACTACAGTTTAAACCTCTTATTTTCTTGTGTGATGATCTGGTTTAAAGTCCAGTCGTTGTATCTTATCCAGCCAAACTGATGAGAGACATCATGGAGCAGCCTCCTTCTTCCTCCAACAACCGGAGGACCCTGTTGAGCCTAAGCTGTTTGAGGAGGACCCCCCCATCGGGTTTGGGGCAGGAGACTCTGAGAGAGAGGGTGAATACTTCCTAAAACCTCCACTTAAATACAGTACAGCTTCACTTTTCCTTCGGCTAATATGATCAAATTCAGTTTCAGCTTCTCACTTTGGGAACGTGAAGCCGAAAATCTATCTCCCAGATGAGACACTGGTCGGGTCCTCGTCTCTCCAGTGAGCATCTCCTGTCTAGTTTTATCATTCCATAAACTGTACAGAGCTTTTTATGGTGGCTGTTTCTTCTTTTTACGTTGCAGACCCACATCTGACTCTCAGCCAGCTGGAATGGAGGTTAGTTTTTTAGACTCTGCTGCCCCCTAGTGTTTAAAGGAGACATATTACACCCTATTTCAACAAGTTAAGCTAGTTCCCTGGTGTCCTAATGTAACGTCTGTGACAAGCTTTGGTCAGAATCCCATAAGGATGAAGCCCAATAGCAGTTCAGTCCACCTGCCTAACCCTAACCCTAACCCTAACCCTAACCCTAACCCTGACCCTAACCCTAACCCTAACCCTAACCCTAACCCAAAACAGCCCCGTTCAGAGCGCTCGCTTTGGAGTGCCTGTCTCTTTAAATGCAAATGAGACACAGGCAATCCACCCACTTCTTCAGGGAGGTGTGCCCACGTCGGCACGCTAACGCTACCATGCTAACGCTACCATGCTAACGCTACCATGCTAACGCTCACGCTACCAGGACGTCTCCACAGATAGGGGAGTAAGCTGAGGGGGGGGGCAACATGCAGGTGAAAGGCTGGAATATTATAATGAGCTAGATAATATATAATAATATTAATATTATAATAATAATAATATTATAATGAGCTAGAGCTAATGACGTCAGAAACTACCCACTCCTGAAACCTCCTGATTTATCTCCTGGATTCAGACTGAGGCGGCCCACAAAAACATGACCCAGTCATTTTTTTTCACACTTTGCCTGCTGATAGGCCCTCCACAGTCCCAAATGTACATAATCACATGATTAAAAACTTGGTTTTGCATAATATGTCCCCTTTAAACAAAATGTTTAACCTGCTCCTTTGTGCTAATCTTAGTTTTCCTCTTTTTTTCTCAGCCTTCCAGTCACTTGGACATGAACTCCTGTGAGTTTCTGACTCGTCTCCAGATGCTCTTAATGCTAACGTACAGTGGGGGAAATAAGTATTTGAGCCCTTGCTGATTTTGCAGGTTTGCCCACTTACAAAGAATGCAACGATCTATAACTTTAATCATATGTACATTCTAACAGTGAACGACAGAATCCCAAAGAAAATTCCAGAAAATCACATCATATGAATTTATAAAAATTGATAACCATCTGATGAGGAAAAATAAGCATTCTTTGTAAGTGGGCAAACCTACAAATCAACAAGGGGTCAAATACTTATTTCTCCCACTGTATAAGAGGAAGAGCTGAGCTGAGTTTTGTTTTGTTTTTTACCCCCCAGCTTGTGTGGGGTTGCCCTCCAGACCTCCGAAGGGCTGGGAATATTCTCCCAGCTGCTCCAGTACAGCAGGATACCTGAGCTCAGATTCTACTGATGTAAGTAGTTTAAGCTTCTCCAGCTCCCAAAATCACAGCAAACTAGGGTTGTCACGATTCTAAAATGTTCAACTCGATACCGATACTCAGGAAAATATTAATATTCAATACCATTTTCGATACCACAAGGATAAAAACAAAACCCCAAAATTTAACTGAATTTTGACAGGTTAGTGTCTTTGGTTTCAAACTGGCCTGTTACTGATGTTATGGTGACCCACATTAATAACCCTAACCCTAACCCTAACCCTAAACCTAACCCTAAACCTAACCCTAAACCTAACCCTGACCCTAAACCTAACCCTAACCCTAACCCTAACCCTAACCCTGACCCTTCATAATTGTGAGAAATAAATATTTTTGGTTAAACTTGTTTGGACTTATTGTACAAACCTATTTAACATCCACTATTTTAACATAATATTATGGATAGAGTTTAATTCAGTGTTTGCAAGATTCATTTCACTATTTTTAAATTAATATCTATATTGCCATGAAGCAATTAGGATTTTCTTGCCTGGGATCTTCCTATTGGTGACCTAATCAAAATGGCCGACTTGGATGTGGGGGAGTTGGATATGTATTTGATTACTGTTGGCGTGTTGTTATTAGCCATTAGCCGCAGCTAGCAATTCAAGGCTAACGTCACGTTAATGATCATAAACAACGTAAATAAATAAATAAATCAGAGAGAGATACTCATTTTGAAAATGAGTATCGTAGCAAAAGTGCTGGAGCTGTTCTGTATCTGTTAGATGAAGAGGAGATGTTCTCTAACAGCCTTTGGGGATCAATAAAGTATCTATCTATCTATCTATCTATCTATCTATCTATCTATCTATCTATCTATCTATCTATCTATCTATCTAAACAGAAA